GGGATACGAACCATGAGAGACTGGACTCTGAGAAACAAACTGAGGGTTCTAGAGGGGAGGGGGGTGGGGGGATGGGTTAGTCTGGTGATGGGTATTAAAGAGGGCACGTACAGCATGGAGCACTGCGTGTTATACACGAACAATGAATCATGGAACACTACATCAAAAACTAATGATGTAATGTATGGTGATTAACATAACATAATAATAAAAAAAAGAATGCTCATAGAAGTTCTATTCATAACAGTCCCAAATTAGAAACAACTCAAATGTGGATTGATAATAGAATGGATAAATAAATTTTTCTATGTTTATACCAAGGTTGTGATGGGCAGCCTCCAAGATGGTCCCCAGTGATCCCCTGCCTCCTGGTGTTCATATCCTGGGCTGGTCCCCTCCCACACTGGACCAGCTTGGTCTCTGTGATCTCTGTGATTAATAGCATACAGCAACAGTGATGGTATATCACTTCTGAGATTCGGGTATAAAAAACACTGCAGCTTCCATTGTGAGAGCTCTCATTCCCATATTTTCTCTTAGACTATTTACTCTGGGGAATCCATGTCATGAGCACGCCTATGGAGAGGCTCACATGGCCGGGACTTAATCTCTTGTCAACAGCCATGTGAGTGAATTTGGAAGTGGATCCTCCAGCCCTAGTTAAGGCTTCAGAGATTATAGCCTCAGGCAACAGCTTGACTGCAATGACTTGAGAGACTATAAGCCAGAACACCGAGCTAAACCAAGAATGATTCCTGATTCTCAGAACATAGGTCGTATAGTAAATGTTGGTTTCCAGCTGCTAAGTTGGGGGTAATTTGTTACACAGCAATAGATAACTAATACAATGGGATAATATAAAGTAATGAAAACAAATGAAATGCAGTTACATATGTCAACATGGGTGAATGTTACCAATGCAATATTGAGTGAAAGAAACCAATAACAGAAGACATTTTTAATTATCCCATTATGTAAAGTTCAAGAAACGGGTAAAACTAAAGTATGATATTTAGGGATGCATGCCTAGATGGTAAAACAATCAAGTCAATCAAGGAAGTGGTTTTCCTAAAAGTCAGGATGATGGTTACCTTTGGGGGCAGAATGGGGTCAGAAGTGAGAGGGGGCACGAGGAAGGCTTCTGTGCTCTTGCTAATGTGCTGTTTCTTGACCTGGATGGTGATAGCAAGGGTATTTGTTTGGGATAAATCATTAAGCTTTATGCCTTTGTTCTTAAACCCCCACTCCACCTTTTTGTCTATGTGTCAATTTCACAATGCAAAGGCAAACAAAGAGGGTGGGATGAGAGAAATTAGGGACAGAGAGCACAGACAACTCTTCAGAGGAATGTTGCAAAGAGGATCAAAGAAATGGAATAGTAGCTAGAAGAGAACTTCTAAGATTTCCAAAACAAGACTTTCCTTTTTTTTTTAAAGATTTTATTTTTTTATTTGATGGAGAGAGACACAGCGAGAGAGGGAACACAAGCAGGGAGAGTGGGAGAGGGGGAGTGGGAGAGAGAGAACCCCTATCACACATACCCACAGAGCAGGGAGCCCGATGCAGGGCTCGATCCCAGGACCCTGGGATCATGACCTGAGCCAAAGGCAGACACTTAAAGACTGAGCCACCCAGGTGCCCCTAAAACAAGACTTTTTAAAACATGAAACAACAGTATGTTTTATGCAGAAGGAAATCATCTACTGGAGAGGAAAAACCGGTAAGACAGAAGAGGGGTCTTGCTGGAACCAGGTTGTGAAGTAGGTGAGCGACCGGTCGGGCCTGAGCTAGGGATCCTGCGTTAGAGTTCTCTGGAGATACAACCAAGAGAATGTATCTACATCTATACGCTCTATACAGTAAGCTTGTACTATATCTATTAATAAACCTGTATCTGTATCTGTCTATCTACCTATCTTTAGATTTATTTTAAGGAGTTTATCTATAGTTTATTTTAAGGCTACACGACTGGCGAGTCCCAAGCCTCCAGGGTGGGCTGGCAGGCTTGGCAAGTGGTATATTTTGAAAAGATGGGATTCCCCTATCACACATACTCAAGGTGATCCAACTGGTGGGGCTGGCAAAGCATTAAGCTACCGAATCCCTGCAGACGAGCCGGGCAAAGAGGTCCTCAGGAAGAATGAGGATCTTCCCTGGGGGACATGCAAATGCGGGCTTAGTTCGGCCAGCAGATGTGGGTGACCAGGTAGGCAGGTGCTTTGGGGGAGTCACAGCTGTTCCCAATCCGTGAAGACACTGAGAGAGGCGCCTTCGGTGGAAATGGTCCCTTTCTTCTTCCCTGCCCCCGGGAGGCACGAGCCCACCCCACCCCCCAGCCCTACCCCCAACTCCCCAGTGCCGGTGCTCAGCGCCCGGGTCCGGACTGTGGCGCGAGCGGGCGTGCCAGCTGCGGCCGCCAGGGGGCGTGAGGCGGCCGAGGAGGGCCGGGCTGGCCGGCAGGGCCAGGAATATCCGGGGCCCGTTTCTGGAGCCGGCGGGCCTCAGCGGGTTGGCTGGAGCTCTCTGCTCCGCCGGGCCCCCTCGGCCGCGGTCCAGCCCCCCGCCCCGCCAGGCCCTCCGGAACCCAGGGCAGCCTCGGGCCTCCGCTGGTTCACCGACCACGTCCCCTGTGCCTCTTGCCAGCGCTGAGCTGCTCTCCTCGGACCCCTGGACGCCAAAGGGGTCCCCCCCGCCGCTTGCACGTTTGGCCTCTCAGATGCTAGAGCTGGCGCCAGGCCTCGTGCGGGGCCCTCCCCCTGTCCCCAGGCCACCCTGGAGGAGGGGGACAGCTACCTAGTTCACGCCTCGGAGGTGGCCCAGTGACCTTTCAGGGCCTCTCGCTAGAGCAGGGGGGATAGAGCTTCCCTCACCTAAAGGAACCCCCCTCCTCCTTAGGACCCGCCACACCCCCGGCTGAGCTGCCTCCCACTTGCTGGGCGACCGGGAGCAGGGGGGCCAGATGCCCCGCACGCACGAGCAGGACACCCGGGTCCGTTTGAATTTCGGATAAACAGCAGGTTATTGAGTGTAAGTATGTCCTAGGCAGTATTTGGCACATACGTACATATTTGGGACAAGACTTACCGTATTATCTATCTAGTTAAATCTATCTGTATCTATATAGTTTAAAAAAATCCGACTTCTCTGTTTTGTTTCAGTTAAACACAAGTACACTTTTCCCCCCAGGCCATCAGCTTTCTTAACAGATTTTAGAAAAAGAAGGAATTTATCCTTTTAATCATGGCATTCATTCAGCTAAAGCTGCGGCCCTTTATGTCTGTGGAACCTTTCCTTTCAAGGAGCTTAATGTTTTTATGTTAATTTATTTTTATGGGCGAATCTGTAGTTTGCTTTCTGACTGGAGTCCACGCCGAATAGGAGCTGTTCAGTGGGGCAGATTTTGGAAATCATGATAACTTCTGTACACCACCCTGAGCAAGGCCCTGTGGGAGTCTCCTGGGGACCTTACTTCTGGGTGACCATTTCACAGTCTATGTGTCCATTACATTTATATTTTGGGTCAAGAGACTCTGTCCTGTAAGGGACCAAAGCCCTTACAATATTCCTAATAACACTCCTTGGCCCTTGTGGAGCTCATTTCCTCATTCCACTGTGGAATGCCATCCGAAATCAAACTGGCTCAGATGTAGATATGCTCTCCCTTGATCCTGACCTGCTTGGTCTGGGGGACAGGAAGCCAAGAACATCAGTTTCCTGGGACAAAGTACCACAAAACTGGATGGCTTAAGCAACAGAAGTGTAGTATCTCACAGTTCTGGAGGCTAGATTTCCAGGATCAAGGTGTCCGCAGGTTATTTCCTTCTGAGTGCTATGAAGGAGATCCAGGATCTTTCCTTGGTTTGTAGATGTGTCTCTTCACATTTTGTTTTCCTCTATGTATGTCTGTCTCTCTGTCCAAATATTTCTTTTTAATAAGGAGACCAGTCATATTGGATTAGAGTCCACCCTAATGACCTAATGACCTCTGTCAAAGACCCTATCTCAAATAAGGTCATGTTCTGAGGTACTGGGGGTTAGGATTTCAACATATCTTTTTTGGGGGAAGGACACAATTCAACCCATACACCAGGAAACCCTGATGAGGGAAGGAGCACTTCATTGGTATCTGAGAGATGACTCTTTGAGGGATCCCATCAACACCTCAATAGACAAGAGTTTGGCTGTCAGGCTGGAGTTTTGGTCAGGAAGCTTCTAGAACCAGGAAGTGGTGACTTCATGGGAGAGCTTGCTGTTCCTGTTGGACACCTAAGCTTGGTCTGAGAGGCCAGCTGAGCTCCCAGTAGCAGAGGTCCTTTCCTCTCTACAGGAGCCTCAGGGAGGGGTCCTTGTCTTCCCCGTATCTGGTGGTGAAGCCCACTTACCTTCTTATCTGGGTAAGAAGCCCACTTACCTTCTCTCACTGCAGGTGGGAATAGGACTGTGAGCAGAGCATTCTCCACAGACTTGTCCAACCCACGTGGCACCTGAGTTCAATGGGGAGCTGGGAATTGGTCCGGGAAAGAAAAACAAGGGCAAGCATTTGGAGGATTTGAGGTAAAAATTTAATAACATGTGTGGTAAATGTTCATAGTAATTTGGGTCTCATAAAACCCTGCCTTCCCACACCGTATCCCCTTACTCGGACAATAAAACTCTAATGTTGTGTCACACACAATTGAAATCTGAGGATTCAAAATAATACCTTGCCTATTTCTTTCTAAGGGAGCACAGTCAATGAAGAGTTTCAAACTTAGATTTTGGTCACCTTATCATTCTCATAAGACTTTTTTTTTTAAGAGAGAGAGAGCATGTGTGCACAAGTGGGGACTGGGGGGAGGAGCAGAAGGAGAGGGAGAGAGAGAATCTTAAGCAGGCTCCACATCCAGTGTGCGGGCCAATGAGGGACTTGATCTCACAAACCTGAGATCATGACCTGAGCCTAAATCAAGAATCGGATGCTTAACTGACTGAGCCACCCAGGTGCCACTCTCATAAGATTTTATTTTATTTTATTAAAGATTTTATTTATTTATTTGACACAGAGAGAGAGAGAGCACAAGCAGGAAGGGCAGTAAGCAGAGGAAGAGGGAGAAGCAGGTTCCCGCTGAGCAGGGAGCCTGATGCGAGGCTCCACCCCAGGACCCCGGGATCATGACCTGAGCCGAAGGCAGCCGCTTAACTGACTGAGCCACCCAGGTGCCCCTCTCATAAGATTTTAATACTCTCTTTAGTAATAGGAAATCATGCAAGTGAGAAAATCCCAGTCCCTCCATTGATTCATGGAGAAAACAGACTCAATCATTCTGACATTTCCAGAGAACCATCACCTTTCCAACAGCTGCTAAGTCCAGTGTGAAAAGAGGCTAATAGCACATGTGATCTCCCAGTGTTTCTGGCCCCATGGGAAAGAATATTCAGGCTCCAACAACACTAACCTGATAGGCAGGATCATCACGTCCTGCCATGTTAGGACAGATTTTTTGACCCCCTCCCAAGCCTAATTTCAGATGGTCCTTTTTGCCAAAGTGAGATCCTTTGAATCACTATGTTGCGGATATGATTTCTTAGTCTCTCCAAAATATATAGTGTGTTGGAGGTGTGAAATTTGGCATGTGAACATATGGGATGGAGAATTGACTGCAGGGAGGGAGTCCCCCTGCTGTGACTGCCCACGCAATTTGGGCTTCCGAGGTAGTTGTTTGGAAAATGAATTAGATTCTGTCCTTAAAAATAAAGTTATTTCTCAAAGTGAGGAAGCCTTGATCCAGCTGCGAGCCACAGGAGCAGCTGGGGGCTTAACACCCTTCTGCACACCTCTAAAGACATTTGAGGCTTGTGTCTGCTAATCAGGACCCGCAAATCATTTTAATCATCAGCTTCTTGTTACATTGTGAGCACATTAATAATTTTTCCTCAATGCATTTAAGGGAAAAAGAGATTGCCAGTAGAAGCCTGTTTAATTTGATCACCTGTGCCCGTGGGCACCAACACCCTTTCTTCCGCCTTCCTTCCTTGGCACCCTCTGGCTATGACCTCTACCCATCATGCGTGTGTGAGTCAACCCCGTGGCACAAGACCTGCTCACCCTCCCTCAGCCAAGTGGTGTTTTCTTTCTGCTCTTCATTTCCTCTTCTCCTTACACACACTCACATCTGTTTCCCATTATTTAATTATTCTGTGTCACAGTTTACATTTTATTTTTCAGTTTTCCTCTGTCTACCATCATACCTTTAGTTTTCCTTTAGCAAACACATACTCATTTCATTCTGATACTGTGTCCTGATAGTTTTCCCTACTTGGTTTGCTATTGTTTGTTTCTTTTCTGTCTTTTTTTGATGTTTTTTTCTGTTGCTTTGGTTTTTTTCTCTCTCTCAGGGCCAGGGAAACCTGGGTACAAGTGCCAGAGCTGGTCAAGAGGACATCGCCAGCAGCCCGGGGTTATACCTGCCCATCTCTGGTGAAAGTGGGGTGTGATAAAGACCCCTTCCTCCCCCCTCGCTTCTGGGCTGTTGCAGGAAGTTTGGGTGGGGCATCCCCACCTAGCAATATGTTCAGTCTCCTTCTTCCCCAAAGTTGAGTGTGCCTACGAGTACGCTGCTTTTCAACAATCCCCCTCTGCCATGTTCCCTGTGCTGGGGACAACAGTCCCGACGTCACTAGCAGGGTCTGCAGGCAGAGGAGGGAGGTTGAGGAAGAAGTCAGTGAGTGACAGAAGTGTACCTGTGCAGAGGGAGTTGTTTTCCTGGTTTACTTTGAATAAGGCACTTCTCTGTACTTTGGAATATCTGGTGGTCAAAGGGCATGCTGTTGAAAGTTTTAAGATTGTTGCAAAATAGGTTGCTATAAGTTGGTGAAGTCAATTTTAGATTCCTTTTTTGTTTTTAATTTTTGGATTGATGATCTTCTAAAAGGGCACAAGAATGAGGCTTCTGGCAACTGTGTGAGAGTCTCCTGCCTTCCTCAGGGAATGTAATATGCCTTTTTTCTTTGGTTGCTTTCAAGATTTCCTTTTAATATTTTATTTTTGGTGTGATTTTTTTTTTGAAGATTTTATTTATTTATCTGTCAGAGGGAGAGAGAGAGAGCACCAGCAGGGGGAGCTGCAGGCAGAGGGAGAAGCAGATTCCCCGCTGAGCAAAGAGCCCGAGTGGGACTCAATCCCAGGGCCCTGGGATCATGACCTGAGCTGAAGGCAGATGCTTAATCAACTGAGCCACCCAGGCGTCCCATAGATGTGATGTTTTTGTTTGTTTTCTGCTTCGTGTTTCTGAGCTTCTTGGATTTGTGGTTTGGTACCTGTCATGAACTTTGGGAAATTCTCAGCCATTAGTTCCCTCCAATATTTCTTCTGCCTCCTTCTCTCTTCTCCTTCTGGTATTCCAATTGCATATATATTAGACCATCTGATAGTGTCTCACTTAAAATACAGGAACATAGATTCATTATGGCTAAGAGGATGAAAAAGAAATACCACTCAATCACTAAAGAAAGCTGGAGTAGCTATATTATATTAATATTTGAAAAAGTAGCCTTCAGAATAAGGAATATTTTCAAAGATAAATAGTGACTTTGTATAATGATAAAGAGTTTAATCCTCCAAAAAGACCTAACAATCCTAAATGTGTGCATACCTAACAACAGTGCTTAAAAAAACACAAAGCAAAAACTGCTAGAACTGAAAGGAGAAAGAGACAAATCTAATTAGAGATGGAGACCTCAATGATTCATAGAAAAAGGAGGCAAAATCAGTAGACATGGAAGATCTGAATAATATCATTGACCAACTTGACCTAAGTGACATTTATAGAATACTGTACTCAACAATAGCAGAATACACATTCTTTTCAATTGCACAAGGATAGTCACCAAGATAGATCATATCCTGGCCCATAAAGGAAACTGTGACAAACATTTAAAAATGGTAATCTCTTTTTGGCTTCTGGAGGTGCAGCCTGTGGGCAAGAGTGGTGGGGCCTCCTAGAGAGTGTGCAGGGCACTCCTGCTGGGCTCAGGGGTAGAGGGCAGGAAGAAACTCTCACAAAGCATATTCTTGGAGCACGATGGAATTAAACTAGAAATCAATAACTGTAAGATATCTGGAAAATCCCCAAATAATCAGAAATTAAACAATACACTTTTATGTAATCCATGGACAAAAAAAAAAAGCCTCAAGACAAATTTAAAAATACTTTGAACAATATAAAAATGAAAATTTATTATATCTAATTTGTGGGTTGCAGCTAAAGTAATGCTGAGAGGAAAATGCATGGCACTAAAATGTTTATATTAGAAAAGAAGCAATGTCTCCAATCAATAATCTAAGCTTCTACTCTAAGAAACTAGAAAAAGAAAAGCAAACCCAAAACAAGCAGAAGGAAGGAAATAATTAAGAGCCTAAATTAATGAAATCGACATAAAGGGAAAACCTTCCTCCCACCCACCCGCCCCCTAGAAGAGTCCTATGTCCCTAGTGCATTAGTGGATGCAAACAGAGACGTGTGGAGGAAGAAGAATATATCAAATTACTCAGATCAGACTGTGAGTGTTAGCTCTGTCCCACCTAGGACCTCTGTGAAAACTAGATATTATAAATGTCTTTAAAAATATTACAAGCGGGCGCCTGGGTGGCTCAGTTGGTTAAGTGACTGCCTTCGGCTCAGGTCATGATCCTGGAGTCCCTGGATGGAGTCCTGCATTGGGCTCCCTGCTCGGCAGGGAGTCTGCTTCTCCCTCTGACCCTCCCCCCTCTCCTGCTCTCTCTCTCTCATTCTCTCTCTCAAATAAATAAATAAAATCTTTAAAAAAAAATTAAAAATTAAAAATTAAAAAATTAAAAAAAAAATATTACAAGCAGGGCGCCTGGGTGGCTCAGTCCATTAAGCATCTGCCTTGGGCTCAGGTCAAGATCCTGGGTCCTGGGATCAAGGCGAGCCCTGCGTCAGGCTCCCTGCTCAGTGGGGAATCTGCTTCTCCCTCTTCCTCTGCCCTTCCCCCACCCCATTTGTGCCCTCCTCTTAAAAAAATTATAAGCTATCTATGTCATTTTAAAAGCTAGCATCTATTGGGAGCTCATGACATCCCAGGTACTCTTGTTGGCACTTTAAATATTAGTTTATGTCATCCTTACAAGTAACTTATTTTTACTCCCATTTTATAAATGTGGAAACTGAAGCCCACAGAAGTTAAGTAATCTGGCAAAGGTTACTCACCTAATGAGTGACAGAGTCAAGATCCGAATCCAAGCAGTCTGGCCTCAGAGCTCAGACGTAAAGGAGTGGTTTTGCTGGTATCTGGGACTGTGAGGTCCGTGATACAATAGGCTGTATTTGTTTCCCCTGGGCCTGGCACCGTCTGACATACAACAGCTCTGGATCAGTGTTAGTTGGCTGATTTACAGCTTGAGACCACTGTAGAATAAAAATGGAAACAATAGCGACTTTTTAGAAAGTAACTTCAACGTTGCTAAGAGACTAGGTCTTAAATGTTCTCACCTCAAAAAAAAAAAAAAAAGCAGCAGCAGAATAAATAACTATGTGAAATGATCCAGGTGTTAG